ATCCAGAATACTCCTATGCTGTTTGCCTTATTTACAGATTTCATGAAAAATACATCATCATAATATTGATGTATGGGCCCTGTAGCATCCAATTTCTTCCAGCCCCTTGTTCCTGGTAGGGATGCTGGTCATGAACTCATAAATGCAGGGGCAATAGAAATAAGACCATGCCCCACAGAATATAATACACACAGATGCTTTTCTAAAATATCCTCATATCCTTCGGAAATAAGGCAATTTGGCTCTCTACGTTGGCTCCAAATGAAATAATGTTCTGGGAGGGGGAGGCCGGTAATAAAAGCGACAATTGTGAAGCGTTACTGGCAGTTTCTTCATTTTTACTGCAAGCTGGGCATATATTTGTTGTCATTGTCAAAGTGCTGGTGTTGTTTACAAGTGAGAGACAAGGAAGCAGGAAAGCTTATTCAGTTCTCTTGGCTGGGAAAACACCATTTCCTCATCACCAATCCAAAAACCACATCTTGAGTGGAAATTAGACAACACAGGGCTTTAGATTTGGTCAGATCTGGAAGGTTTTCGGTAATTTCCTGCTTGCCTTGCAGTGTTGAAATATCTGGGGATAGTTGTTATTCGAGCATGAAATCCAAACAAACATGGCCATTGCTGCCCCACTGGGTTTCAGTTGGGTGGATATTGACAAGAGCTGTGGGGTCCAGCCTTTGACAGTTTGGAAAACCTCTCTCAACCTTCCCTTCCTTCATGGGAAACCAAAAATGGGCACAGTAACTTTGCAGGCAGAGTGACAGCTGACCAACTCCTTCTCTGTGGACAGGGATGCAGGCCTCCATCCATCCCCAATCAGTTTGATTGGCAGGACAAAGCTCAGATCTGAGAACTGCATTTCTCTCAGAGTGCCTCTCACACCTATTGGATGAAGAACAAGAAGGAACTTGTAATCCCTTCCTTGTGCATCTGAGAAAAATCAACCCATCCCTTTCAGTTGGAGGTATTTCATGGGGAAACACAGCTGGAAGGCAAGCGCACACACATACCTCAAAACAAATCTAAAACGCAAGGGCCTTCGGAGGAGGGAGCAGGGACTGAAATCCCAGCTCAGAGCGGGCAGATCCTCAGCAACTCTGCGTGCACGCCTGTCCTCATTTATGAACGGTCAACAAAGCAACTGCAGGTGATTTGGGCTGACGCTGCAGAGGCCTCTCAGATGGCCAGGCCCCTGCAAACGTATTCACCGCCTCATTAAAGCAATTTCAAAATCAATTCCAGATTTGACAAGCCGTCAGTACATTGTTGCTTCTCTGTGAGGGGAATGACATGTTAACAGCAATTAGACTCTTGCACGCGCACGTCGGAGCCTGTTCAGCATATTCTTTATTAGAAGAGCCCAAAAAGCGTTATTATAATCATCTAACCTGGGGTCATGGACACATGCTCTGTGATCTCTATCTCCATTGGCAGTCCCCTCGGTGAAATTTTGCCTATTGTCCGTAGAGATTAAAAGAAGTGCTTACCCCAGATGCGATATTGGAAAATCAAAGGTCAGAGCAAAGCTTGTGGTAGCCTCTATGTTTTTTAATACAAGTTATAGGAGCAATCAGATTAGCATGAACAGATATTGCTCCTTCTAACAGATGGAGCAGGATTCTTATGCAAACGAGGGAGGACAGGCTACAGTCATTTGGCAGGAGTGGGGGTGCTGTTATCCCAACTGGGGTTGGCCAGTGTTTGGACAGTGAGAATAGCGAAGACTGGACTCCAGTAAACAGAGGAATACTAGTCCTTTATCTCAAGGAAAACCATCTCCTTCGCAAATAATATCAGTCCATTGTGTTTGGAACGGCCTTCTTTGTAGCCAGCTCTATCGGTCAATTAAAGTCATCAGTGAGAGTTTTCTTCATTGCTTTGGGAGCCTGGCAGAATCTACTGAAAAAGAGTAATGTAACCTGATTTTTCCAAGACTCAACCAGCCCAATGAGATCCAAATAAGTCTCAATCCAAATAAGTCCTATTTATTTCAGAGTGGGGTGTGTTCCAAGAGGGAGTCTGTCACGGACCTACAAACAATTCCCTCTCACTTGTCTCTTCTGATTTCAGCTCTGTTAGCTACCATCTGAAAGTGGTTTTATGCCTAGTGTTCAGTGTGAATAAAGCTAACATCTTAACCAATTTTTTGAGTAAGTACTTTTATTGTTTCCACTTTGAAGAAGAAACAGGGGAGTAGTAAGTTTCAGCCCACTGCCCAGCATCTCGGGATCTCATAGGCAGAACACAAGATGCGAACTTAGGCAGCCTGACTTCAGAGCCCCATGGTCGGTTGTTACCCTAAGCTGGCTCTTGAGAAAAAGCTGATCTCCACTCAAGGGGACAGCCTCCTCAAGCTCCCACAGTTGCAAAATCTTCAAGGTTCCATAGAAATGTTTGCTGACTGAATGACTCCCTGAATGAATAAATGTCGATTTGTTGCTAGTGAATGTGGGATTCCTGTGGTGTCAAAAGAAGCTGCATTTTCAGGGACCCATAAGGGCAGATGAGGTCTGGTAGTAATATTTATTTGTAATGCAAAATCAAAAGGATGCCCCTCTGATATTCTGTCTCTGTCCATCCTGCTATGGACAATCAAGGCCAGAAATAGAGCCAATGTCCAGAGATCCTGTGCCATATTAAACGTTAATCCCAGTCCAGTGTTTGGTGAGTTTAGCTTGTGTTCCCAACTGCAATGCATTGCTTCGCTGCTGTATCCAGGCTCCCACCCGGAGCAGTCATGGCTGCTACAGAGAGAACAGGGAAGAGCACCGGCTAGCGGGGGTCACCAGCAAGAGAGAAAGAGCTTCTTTGTTCACTTGGCATTAAGTATTCTTGGGCTTGGGAGGAACCAGGTGCTTTTTCAAAATAACCAATCAACTTCCAAAGCTTTTGCATTGGCCCCACCCCCTACACTGATCTTTCCCCCAGGTTAGACTGACAGGCCTCTATAGACAAGAACCTCCCCTGCACCATTTTGACTTTATTATGCAAGTGCTTATCTCCACCTGCTCCCCACCTCCGACAATCCAGGAGGGGAAGGGAGGGGTGTTTATCCTTGACAGGCAATGCTCTGATCCCCTGGAGTGTGTATGAAGCTGTAGCTTCCTGGTGAAGCAAACAGGCCTCTGCTTCCCAGCTACATATGCTCAACAAAGTCAGAATTCCCTTGTTCTCTTCCTGTGTATCAATAATTAGCTGCCTATGGTAACAGATTGACTTTGATGGCTGAATTCATGCGAAGTTATATAATCAAATTTCCAGGCTCACAGGTGTGTCTACACAGACTGGCCTATTGAATACTGTGAACAACCCTGAACACTGTAGTCCATATTCCCCTCCCCTGCTTCAAGCTCCTCTGTGACGCTTGTCACCAGGGACATATGATGTATTGTGTTTGTCTCTCTCTCCTAAGAGAATACATGGCAAGACTTTTCAGTGTTTTGCACACTGCCATTTCAGTGCTAGAACAGTGCCTGCAACAAACTAGGGTCTTGATAATTGTTGAATAAATGAAAGGGTTATGTATTTCAGGCATAAATCAGATAGGGGATGTAGCCCACCTTTGGTTCAGAAATATATCCATAGACCTATGTGCATTATCGATGAGAAAAATAGCATGAAAAAGCTGGAAGGAACATTGGTGCTCTTCATGCTCCCTTTGTCGTTTACAGAAAAAGTCATTTGCTTTTGGTAACACCAAGCTGACAGTAGACCCAGGACTGAAACCCCTTGTCTGGGAGCTTTTCCAACCCTATATCCCACATACTTATTGTGACCAGATCTAGGGATTTCCTTTTCCACTTAGTGCTTTATTAAAGGTCTTCTCAGAAAGCCCCCCACTGATCAGATGTTGCCCCCACCCACACACTGGGCTGGTTCCCGGTTGGCTGACCGCCTGGGCTTAGAGGGTCCCTGTGGTTTTGTTGGATCAGGGGTTTGCTACCTTTGAAGCAGGCCTCCTCATTGCTGATTTCCCCCAGGCATTTGTTTTTGAAGTTAAAGCTTCAAAGGCAAGTAACGTTTGAAATTCTTCAGCTATTCACCCTGTTGGAGAAGCTCAGTGCAGACACTCAAGAAGCCATTTGTTGCTTTCATTGGGCTCAATAGATAAGCAGGAAGACACCATTTGGAAGATGAGCTGACACCCTACTTTGAAGAATAGTGTCTCTGTAGAGATTCTCCTTGGGCTTAATATTTTGATTTGCAGTTTTCCAGAGAGAGGTTTGCTCAAATTGCCTTTGTGTGTTTGTGTGTGTGTGCCAGGGAGGGGTGGTGTGTTTTGTGTATATATATATATGTGTTTGTAATTTTTTTGGATGGTGGGTAGGCAAAAGGTTTGATTAAAAAAATCTTAGCATTTCCAACAAGAACTAATAGAACAGCAGTTTTTGAAGTGTGGTCCAGAGATCCCTGGGGATTCCGGAAACCCTTCAGGAGTTCTGTAAAGTAAAAACTATTTTCTTAATAGTACTAAGACATTGCCCTTGCTGTCATCAGCATACTGAGGAGTTTCCAGAAGCTATCTGATAATGTGATATTGCAACAGAATGAATGCAACAGCCGATATGAGAAACCAGCCACCCCGTTAGGCTCAACATTAGAGAGATCTACAAAAATGTACAACAGTACCCCTCTCCTCACTTATTTCTTTTGAAAAATGTAGCTTCTTTCCATAAAATTATATTTTTATGTGAACATGTGTAGGCTTTCCTTTTTAAAGAAACTAATTAATACTCTAAAAACTTCTGAGATTAAATTTCGAAAATAATAAAGACTGATTATGTATATATCCCATCATAAACAAAAGCTTTTGGATCCTCAAATATTTTTAAAAAGTAAAGTGGTTCTGAGACCAAAAAGTTTGAGAACCACAGTAGTAGAGCTGTCAAAACTCAGTGTGAATGAAGCCACAAAGATCATGTGGAAGGATCGTGAACGATGATCCGGTCCAGTCCTCTTGCTTGCTCAAGCAGGCTAAGTATTACTCTTTCTTACAGATGGAACAACTGAGACCCAGAGGGTTTACAGACTTCCCGAAAGTTCTGCAGCTGCCGAGTGCAAAGTTAGGGAGAGCAGTGACATGGAGGCAGCACTGAGACCCAAGTCTTATTCCTTCTGGAGCAGAGAGAGCTCCCCACGACCCCACACTGCCAGGGATGCAAACGGTTCATCTTAAGGAAATGTAAGCTATAGACACACCCTCTTCTTCTTTCTCTCTGTTTCTTTGCATGTTAAATTTATATTTGGTAAGTGTGCTGGTGAAGAAATGGAAAGTGCTGGAAAGAACTGTTTATTTGCTTAGCTTATTGGGCTTAGAAAGTGTGGGCTGGAGTTGGTGATGCTGGCTGTCATCCTTTGAGACTCAACTTGCAGAGTTCCACTTCCCCACTCACTGGCAGGGCTGTTGGCAAACCTCCGGCTGGTCACTAGAGACATTAGTTCCCCACCACTTCCCCACCACATGGACCTCTCCATAGGGTAGTTCAGAGCAGGGCAGCTGGCTTTCCTCAGCGTGAGCAAGTAAGAGTGAGAGACGCAGCTCAAGAAGGAAACTAAATTCCTGGTGCAACCTAGTCTTGGCAGTGACGTTCTATTACTTTTGCCATACTCTAAGTTTTAGGCTCCAGTCACTAGGTCCAGCCCACATCCAAGGGGGAGGCATGGGTGTGAACATGAGGAGGAGGGTTCCTTGGGAGCCATCTGAAAGTCTGTCTGGGATCCTCTCACTCTTGCCGTGAATCCATACTGCCTTCCAAGTAGAGTAGCTTGTGTTCACTGTCTATGGGCCGGTCTAGAGTAAAGGGCATGGACTCTGCGGCCAGTCTTTCTGGGTTTGAATCCCAGCTCGACCACTTAATAGCTTTTGACCTTAGGCAAGTTATTCTGTCTCTTGGTTTCTCAACCATACAATGGGCATGATAATAGTTGCTTCTTCACGGGGTTTATTGTGAAGCTCAAGTTAATACATACTATAGAGTGCTTAAAACAGTGGCTGGTATGGTGTAAACATCAAATGGGTACTTAGAATTATTACTGCTATACACCAGGCACATTATGCAAATTATCTAATTTATTGCTAACAATATGCCCTCAAAGTAGGTATTTTCACACCATCTGATCAATAAATAATTAAGGCTTAGAGAGTTTAAGCTCCTTGCCCAAGGTAACATCACTGGTAAATGAAGGGACTGGGATTCTTGACCAGGCTTGGATGCCCCCAGATCTGGTCTTCTATTCTGTTACGTTGGGAAATGCACCAGGGAATGGAAATAGCCGTGTTAGGGTTCTGGGAAAGTGAAATAAGAATGCACTTAATATACTGTTGATATAATTATGAATTAAGAGGGAAACATTTTATAATCCGCCCTATGGACATCATTGGGAAGTTTTTCTTGAGCTAAATTTAATTTCGAAAATAAATGACTGGTACCCAGACTCAAAAATAACCAGGCACTTAGGCGATAATTGTTTACTATGTGATTTTTCCATCTTCTCTATGGTACTTACCTTGCAATGACATGATCAATAGTTATCCTGCAAGTAGCAAGTATGGCCCATGAAATTTGTGACCTGGACAATCAGCCATTACAAGAGTGGAGTGTTAAATGGTCTGGAAATGATCAGAGCCATCAGATCCACACCAGTCAGAAGGTAAGGCCGCCTCTTCCCTTTGACACAGCCATCCAAAGATCTCCAGACGAATTCCCAGGCTGTGGATTGGCACCATCTGCAGGGCTTTCCACGCGTGAGCTGGAGCTGTCTATGGCAGAGTCTCCTTCCAGGCTGAGAGCTTCTTGTACATGAAGGGAGGGAGGTGCTGCTCTCTAGATCCACTCAGTAAACATTCCACAATCGACTGTCAGGCCAGTGCATACGTGTGGCCATTAGTGGACCAGTGGCCCGTTGATTTGGTTGCTCTCAGCAGAGCTGGGCATGTTTCCTTGTAACTTCCTTTTAGAGAAAAACTCCAGGGAAGGCAAATGTCTGTGGATGGGCCTTGAGGAATTGGGGAGTGCTCACCCCTTCTAATCTCAGTGCAGGCAGACTGTACCGGGGAGAAGGCAGCTGCTGCTCATCTCTATATCCTCTCCAAAAAGAGAGAATTAATTCCACGTTTATTCATTCAGGGGTAAGGAAGATGGGCAAGATCAGTTCCTGTCCCTTAAGAACTTGCATCTTTTTTTTTTTATCATCCTCACCCGATGACAAATCGAGGACATTTTTCCATTTTTTGTTCAGGTAGAGTGGGAGGGAGAGAGAGGAACACAGAGAGAGAGAGAAACATCGACGTGAAAGGAACACATCGAGTGGCTGCCACCCGCACAACCAACCAGGGCCGGGGACAAACTGCAACCGAGGCACGTGCCCTTAGCGGGAACTGAACCCGGGTCTCTCAGGACCGCAGGCCGATGCTCTAACTGCTGAGCCAAACCGGCCAGGGCAAGAACTTGCATCTTTATTGGGGATTCATGATGGATTCACACCAGCCAATAAAGAATGTTGCAGGGCATGGGAACCTGTGAACAGTGACTGGGGATTTCAGAGGGCCTGGGACATTCAGATAAAGCTAACGGAAAGGGTAGAGTTTGAGCCAGGCCTGGAAGGCTTTAACTAGGTCAAGAAGAAGGAAAATCCAAGCTCCTTAGTGTTCTAGGCTATGTCCGCAATCTGTCTTTTCAAGCCTCTGATTAAAGAAGGCAGCCTAGTGCAGATGGGTTTTGAAGTTAGTCAGACTTGGCTGAAAGTCTTGCATCTCACTCACTAGCTATTGGAACCGAAAGCAAGTCACGTCATCTCTTTAAAACTGTTTTCCACACACAAAACAGGAATAATAACATCTGCGGAGAGTGATAGTATTTGAAAACAAATGTACTTGCACATAGTAGGTGCTCAATACATATCGGGTTTCTTCCTTTACACGGTCCCTTCAGATCCTCAATTGGACCTCTAGGCTGCAGGCCCAGCCAAGCCCATCCCAGTCTCCACATCACCTATGCCAATCGTGGTCTCTTGAAACCCTCCATCAAGGCGGCCACAAAATGCCACCTCCTCCATGATGTTTTCCTTAGTTCCTCCAGCCATAAGGGATCTTTCCTTTCTTCACACTCCGCTAGCCACTCTGTCAGATATTCATCCCACTATCACTAGATACTGTTACTAGAATTACTTCTTTGACAGGGAATAAGCTGCTAGAGTGCATTGATCATGTCAGATTTACCTTTCTAGATCCACAATACTTTGCAGTGCTGAACCACACAATGTGTTCAGGAAATATTTGTTGCATGTCCAACTGAAGGACTGCAAAGAGGGCAGAAGGCAATTCTGAAAGAGAACGCACTGCAAAAGCAAAGGCGTGGAGTTGGGCACGGCTGCGGTGTGTTGGGGATACCACATCGCTCCCAGATGGTTTGGGTCGGGACAGTTACAAACTTGGCAGCTTGGAAGCTTCAAGCATTTGTTCCAATTCCTCACTCAACTTGAGCACCGCCACTCCCTTCACCACTTTTGAGGTTGCCTTGATGTAACCCTGAGTCTAGCTCACTTTAATGTACTTAACACTTGAACTGGAAACTGTTTCCCACAGAGCTGGTTATATCAGCTCTCAGGAGTAGAGGTGACTATATCTGGGTCACAGATTTAATTGGGACAGTCATCTCTAACGGAAATGCTCTGAAAGAGGTTGAGTGTGCCCATCTCTGCCAATTAGGAAGCAGATTCAGGCTGCTCCCACTCATATGTGTAGTGTTTGTTAAGCTGCTCAGACCTCATTCATAGAATTAAGCTGAAGAGAGAGGACTGGAGGTGCTAGAGTTTGATGTCCTCTCCAAGTCAGGAAAATTTGAGGAAATAATTCTAAAGTAGACCTGAGACTCCCAAAGTGGGCAAAGGGGAGACGGGGGTTGGTCACCACTTAAACTCAACAACTAAGTGCAGGGGGTTAGGTACAGAGAACACATTTGAGTTGAACATCACATTAGGAAGTCCTAGTTATTTGAAAATTTTTTTTGATTTTGCATAGGCTCATAGCATTTGCAGAAGAGACTTTAGTGATTAGATTCATGATCATGAACGTCACACACTAGTTGGTATCAGAGCTGAGCCTAGTAATGATATCTTTCATTTACTTTGTGCTTCTTACATTTTTTTTTTCTTTATTGATTTTAGAGAGAGAGAGGAAGGGAGAGGGAGAGAGAGATAGAAACATCGCTGAGAGAGAACATTGATTGGCTGCCTCCTGCATGCCCCCCACTGGGGATCAGGCCCATAACCTGGGCAGGTGCCCTGACCAGGAATCGATTGAACCGGTGATCTCTTGGTGCCTGGGTCGACGCTCAGCTGCTGAGCCACACCAGCTGGGCTGCTTCTTACATTTTAAAATCCTTTTACGTACTTTTATTTCTCAAAACCAGTTATGTAAAGGCGTTACTATCCTCATTTTAAAGATGAGGCCGTTGAAGTTCAGGCTCTGTTTATGTGACACAGAGAAGCTTCAGGGACACTGATCACACCAGGAGAACGTTGGGAACATCATTTAGTCACCACTCAGCCTGGGAATCCCCACGCTCTGCAGCCCGGGGGGCTGCTGTGAATTCCCCAAGACGTTCTGACAGCAGTACCCCTGGCATGCTGTTTAAAACGTCAGGTACACAGTTTCAGACAACTGTTAGTAGGCCACAGAAGTTCCCCGAGACGTTCGGTACCTTCGTCAAATCTGTTCTGACTCTGTGTGGGCGGCTGAGTTTCATCAGGAGGGTGCTGAAAGCAGCTGCCCCAGAAGGGCTGGATTTGGCGGAGCAGACCCTCAGGTCTTGCCATCGCTGAAATGCAAACACGGCGCTGATGTATTACACATGCTTTTTTATTTGCAGTCTTTGCCAGGATGAGATACTTGAGATGTGAGATATTTCCTCTAAATTTATGTACAACTCCAGGTTCTCAAATTCCGCAGAATTATGTGTGAGAGGGGAATCCGCTGTGGGCTCCAGAGGTTCTTAAAACACACTTAAGAGATGCCGTACTCACTGGGCATTGCCTCTGGGTTCAGTCACTTTTCCTAATAATTTCTGCTATTGGTATGAAAGGCACACAGGTTGTAGTTTTACCAACTGGATAGAGAAGTTGGAAAAAAAAAAATCTTTACTTGTGTTCAACTTTCATTTATCATCAAGTCCCAGCTTTCCAAAGAAGTTATGGGACTTGCTGGTTTCATTAACTTGAAGAGGGAAAACAACAAAAAGCTGCTTTTCTTTTGTGTACAGAGTGAGCTGCTGGTAGCAAGGGTCAGGGCGGCAGCTCTGTGGCTTTCAGAGACTAGCCAGATGGCTTCATAAACAGATTCCCTGGGTGGCGGGGGCAGAGGTGAGGACAGACAATGAAGATGGGGGTGTAAGAGCGAAGCTGGAATATCTCTTGAAGACAGGAGTGGGAAACTGGGAAGCAAAACATCTGACTTGGTGTTTAAGAAAGGCTAAGTAATGGGGTTAGTGGTATCACACTGTCTCTGCAGAGGACCTCGAGACACGTCTAAAGTTCTCATAAACCTCAGATAGGTACACCCTCTTGTTGTTCTTACCAACTTTTAAAAATGCTGTATATTACTCAAGAAAAACCACAAAACTTCGAACTGGTACTGGTTTGCCCAATTTAAGGTCAGATTTTGCATAGAAGATTCAAAGACAGGAAATGCATTGGCGCAAAAGCAACCAAGAGGGCATTGAAATAATACCACCATTTCCATAGTCTTCACATCAAGATGCGTTATGTCATCTGTGGGCATTTTTTGGATAGTTTGTTTGCAAAGTGACTGCAGGACCTTTGCGTTACCAGGGAGCCTCTGTCGTGAAGTCCCATAGCATGAAAGAAAAGGGACTTTTGCTGTGCAACCTGGAGTCTTTCTTAGCAAAGAGGGATGAGAAAGAAGCTGCTTGGTCAACCGATAAGTTTGTATAACGATTTCCACAATTAAACAAAGTAAGATATTGGTTTCTTCTCTTAGGAGAAGTAGTGTCCAAGTTCTCCAAAAGAAAACATCACCATCTTTTCATGCACTTGAGCAAACAAATTTTTGGGGGGCTGCATCTTCATTATGTGACTTATGGAATTTTATGCCCATAAAGCATCATTTATCTCTGACAATTCTGCCAAGTTGACCTGTTAAATTTTTTTTTCTTTTATCCTCACCCGAGGACATTTTTCCATTTTTTTTGGTTCAGATAGAATGGGAGGGAGAGAGAGGAAGAGAGAGAGAGAGAGAAACATCAATGTGAAAGGGACACATCGAGTGGCTGCCACTCGCACGACCAACCAGCACTGGGGACAAACTGCAACTGAGGTACGCGCCCTTAGCGGGAACCGAACCCAGGTCTCTCTGGACTGCAGGCCGATGCTCTAACCGCTGAGGCAAACCGGCCAGGGCGACCTGGTAAATTTTAAACTATTGAATTTTCATAATCCTTTTATAAATGAATATGGTCCCAACTGGTTATTATCCTGAGAAAACTAGGAGGTGATCTGAAAAAGATGATGATTTATGATAACATGAAAGAGTACCAATTGCTCCTCTTGGATTAAACAGTTCAGAGTTGAACTAAAGTCTAGG